TATGCGTTAATTGTGTGTTGACCGACCCTCTGTGTTGTATTACATTACATTTCGATATTTTGCTAGGTTATTGAATTTTAGTTTGTCCTTCTCCTGATTTTCAGACTTGCTTGCCTTGTCATCGCACTTGCAGAACCTTGTTTTTTGACCACTCATTGATATGCAAATGTTTTCTCTAACCCCCTCCCTCTCTCTGCCTCCTCCCCCCTCTGTCTATTTAAGGCCACCCCACAGAGATGATCACCCCTCTCTGTTACCTGTGTTGCTCCCTCTATGTATCTTGGTGATATCTGTCTGCTAATATGTCTGTCTATAGTTTTCTGGTTAGATTTTATGTCGCTATTTCATTATACCTGATGATGATTGCTTGTGTTGCAATCGAAACGTCGTATGCTATTATTTAATTTAATTTATTATTTTATCTTTAGACGTGACTTAACCGAAAAAAACAAATAATAGTCTATTCTTAGTCTCAAGCCTCACCTTACCATATTAATAATAAAGATGCGGCCCATGCTCCACCACCTTCTCCAACCATTATATAAACGCAGTGGTAACTCTTGAAATCTCTCATTTACTTGATACAGCTGTCGTGGCTGTGACGGTACCACCTGAAGACGGAAGCTTGTGTTGCCTCCGAAACGTCGTGATTTTTTTTATTTTATTTTACTTTTTAATGTTTTTACCTACGTGACTTTACCGGAAAAAAAAACCTAAGGATATGAATCATTGCAGTCACGAAAGCTTCAAATCTAGAATTTCTTCAGGAACACTACTTTACCGAAAGCCCAAAGAATATAAATCGCTACAGTCACGAAAGCTTTAAGTCAAGATAGGAAATGAGAGCTTAACCCCAGAGATAATATTGCTGCACCAGTACAGAGTTAAAACAACGCTGACGCTGGAAGTGAAAGATCCAAGCTCTCCGCAATGCCGAGCCCTCGGCCACCAGATACTTGACAGAAGCTGTTCCTTGACAAGTCGGATGAGATTATCGTGACGTGAGCAACCATCAGCTACACAGACAAAGCCACCCCACGCCCGTAAAGCCCTTAACAGACTTTTGGGGCAAGTGTGGTTAGCCAGAAGCACCTTTGAAGGCCAGCACTGTGGCACACGAGGGGGTGGTGTGGCCAACTCCACGCCCGTCCACCTTTGTCTCCCGAGTGGCGATGTTTCTCATTTGAGGCTAACTTGACCTAGGGAAAGCCCAGGATCGGTTCAGATAATCGCCACTGATGTTGACCGTGAGCGGGAGTCGAACTCGGGTCGCCAGGTTCAGTAGCCCAGCGTGCAAACCGCTGCGCTACCGCTCCCCACACAGACACACATCTATACACCAACACACCCGCCATTCGCCACAAAGGGGCGGTGACGTCACCACGGCGCCTGTGCCAGGCCAGGTGCACTTTCAGACCACGTCGAAGGCCACATACACCTACACACAAATAGACACACACCTACACACACAGATACACATCTACACACACACAAACTGTTGAGGCAAGTGCTGTTAGCGAGCACTAACCAAGGTCGGAACGGCACACAAGGGGGTTGGTGGCAAGCACAACGCCCGGCCATCTTTTTCTCCCAAGTAGCAATGTTTACACATCGCACTCGGTACTCATTTGAGGCTGAGTCAATATAGGGGAGGCCCAGGACCGGTTTAGATACTTCTCACTCGTGTTGGTAGTGAGCGGTAATCGAACTCGGGATACCGAGTTCTTAGCGCAGTGCGCTAACCGCTACACTCCCGCTACCCTATACACACACAGCTAGACACAAAGACTAAGACAAAGATCCCCCGTATAACTTTAACCGATCGTTGGGGCAAGTGCTGTTAGCGAACACCTATGAAGGCTGGCACGGCACACAAGGGCTGCCGCTGCCCCCCCCGGTGCCCCCCCCCCGGTGCTCCCTTCCCCCATCGCCCCTCCCCTTCCTTCCACATCCCCCGCCCCTCGGCGTGGCTCCCCGAAACTTGCCATAACGGAAGGGACCGTGGTGATTTATAGCCAACGTGAGTTGAGCGTGGACAATTAGACCCGTACAAAATATTGTTTAAAATTATATATTTTTAATTTTTTTAATGATAGAATATAGTCCTGTTATCAGTATGACATAAGTATACCAAGTTTGCAGTCGATGGCACATTGGGAAGTGGGTACAAATTGAGTTACAATAAATTTTTGAGGATACGACAACGGACAGAATGAGTTAAATAAAAATCGTGTAGTAATAATAATACAATCGGGATGTGGATGGCGGCACACCGGCTACAGACCGCGACTGTACTGCGCAAGTACAGTACCCCTCCCCCAGATGAACTGGAGTACGAGCAAGAAATCGCGAATACTGGACTCGAATTTCTCAAAAGAAAAATTTGGGAACTTCTTATTTCGTAAGGGGTTGATGTAGATGCAGAGGCAACGACCACAATTGCACATTCAAATGGGCAAGCCTGATAACCACGTCAGGAACAGCGAAGTGCATCGCTGTGACATCTCCTTGGTATTTGTGGATCGGGCATTGCCTCGTGAAACGTTGTACAGTCTGTTCTGGATGACCATAGTCACACACTGAGTTTTTAATTTAACATGTGTGCATCAGGTATGCGCATTACTGCCATGGTTTATGCGGATACGTTTTGTGGTAGACAATTAGCTTCGTGGAAGGTCAAACCCAGGGATCTTCTGCGTTGGGCCTTTCATACTAAACTGCATCCACCGCACAAACCATGGAGCAGAAGATGGCAGCCTTCACGTGGCCCACTTTTAAGTGAGAAATCACGATGAATACCATCAAGATCGATCATCAATATCCCGGTCTCCAGAGCAGCAACACAATCCGCGAATGAAGAAGTTTTACTGGAATTGTTAAGGAAGGGATATGTATTTTTCGCTTCTTCGGCACCGTATATAGCCAACCGTGCTAATCGGAGGTGCGAGAGGACAACAAACGAACCACTAGAGATGTAGAGCTGAATGAGCGATGTGGATTCTAATGGTGATCTAGAAGGGCACGAGATCAATTGTCTGATGCACGTTGTAATAATGTTGTAGAATGAAGAGAGATTAAAATTGGCAAAATTGCGTCTATTCTATATGTAAATAACCAGAGGAAGGGCCTTTACATCAGAACCAGCAAATTAAATGCCTGGCTTTGCGTCATCAACCACCTCAACCCAAAACTCTTAATGAGTAATGTGTGGTATATTAAGGCGTTAATTTATTAATAAATGGATAAGTTCCTGTTTGTGGGCGGTATGCTCATGGCCAGCTGCCGTTTGGCTGTGGAAATCTCACTCTGAGTCGAGTACTGTGTAATATTTTCATCGGCTGCGTAAGTAACACTGTTTGGAAGCTGTGTGTCTTTGTATGTTGTCTCTATGTACACTGCGTGACAAACCCGACGCCCTGAGTTCGATTCCCACTTATGGCCAACACAAGTGGCGAATATCTGAACCGGTTCTGAGCCTCCCCTCGGTTGAATCAGCCTCAAATGAGTTACTGGTACTTGTGTAAACATTGCTACTTGGGTGCTGGCAAACCACCCCCTGGTGTGTCATGCCGGCCTTCATAGTTTCATACGTACTCTTACTCGTGAACGGCACTTGCCTCAACAGTATGTTAAGCCTATACGGTGGATTTTTGTCTTTGTGTAATGCTGCATGAGCCTGGCTGACCTGTTGTCCCATGCTATAATTATATTTAACTATTTTATTGTTTACCCAGGAAAGCCTCACGAGTCTCGACTAATTTATAGGAGGTTCCTGCCAATTTTACACAGTATAGGGGACAATGATCTCCCACGTGTAATCCCAATGGAGTATTTGGCAGGCCAGGAGTAGTGGAGTGTATCATTGCTGTGATGTCTCCTTCATATTTGTGGATCAGGCATTGCGTTGTTATATGTTATATGGTTTGTTCTGGATGACCACAGTCGCACACTGGAGAGTTTATAATTTTCAATTTGTGCATCAGGTATCCGCATCTCCTATGGTTTGTGCAGTGGATGCGGTGTAGGGTGGTCCATGAGCTTCATGGAAGATTAAACCCAGGAATCGTCTGCGTTTGGTCTTTCACAAGGTGTTTGTTCGTGAGTTCTTTTGAACTCCATTCAGCTCTCCAAGCTTCATCGGGGTTGAATTCGCATTGTTTTAGGTTAAGCGCATGGGTCCAAAAGGGCTTGGCGTGACTTCAAGCGATGATGAACGTTATCGAGGTCTCGGTGAATGGAAAGGCGACTGTTTTTCTGGATTCGCAGGACTTTTCAGAGGGTTGCAGTGTTACGGCGGATAGGTGGGGGAGATATATGTGACAGCACGGGCAGCCAGGGTGTTAGGATCGACTTGAGGGTTCCAGTGATACACTGCATTGCAGTGTTCAGATGAACAACACCAGGTCGAGTGGTGACTTCTTCTGGTCTATTCTGGTGGACAATGTTCGGCTACAAAGTACAACAAGGGCCATAGTTAATATCCGTAGCACTGGTGCTGATGCTCCTCAGCTTTGTGATTGCTCGTTTATGGGCACAAGGTTAGACCCCTTGCTTTGGTCTTGGTGGCTACCTTTTTGTGGTGATTGTGAAAGGTTAGCGTATGGTCCAGATTCACTCCGACATAAGTTGGAGTGGGTTCATGTGACAAGGGCAGCCAGGGAATTGGGTTTAACTTGAGAACAACAAATGTTTTATCGTGTCCATTGCTCGTGGCTAATGGACATGGCCATGACCAATCCGCACTCAACAGAGTTGTGAAGAATGCTCAAATTACTCCCACGGACTGTACGGTGTTGGGGGAGACCCTCGTCCAGCAGTGGATTGACGAAGAGGCTCGATAGGAAACAGTTATTTAGTCGAATTGTAACTAAAAATCTGTGGCATTGCAGAAAACCACTAAAGGGGGGTGAAAAGTTTACGTTCGTAATTGCTCCCGATTTACCGTTGACCATATCGGCAGATTAATCATATAACCGAGTTGGCATCTTCTTTCCTGACAGACGGAGGTGGATGGAGTCACGTGATCACGGCTTGGACCATTTAATGAGCATCACCATGGCAACCGTTGCAATGATGATTATGGTGGTGATGGCAACGGCAGGAGTCAAAGTGATGGGTGAGAGCTACAGAGAGGAGTGTGTGGTGTTTGTGTGTCTTTACACGTACACCAATCCATGAGCACATGACACCGGTCCTCTTATTTCTTCATTGGCTACCAGTCAGAGTCTGAGTGGACTTTAAGATACTACTAATAATCCAAAAGGCTTTAAAAGGGCTCACTTCACATTAATTGCAAGAACTAATACATGTATATATTCCATCAAGGTCCTTAAAATCTTCTGCTATCCAACTGCTCAGCACTCCCAGATCTAGATTGTTATTTTTTGGAGATCGGCCTTTTGTTATAGTGGCATCCAGGTTATGGAACGCCTTGCCACTTGAAATAAGGCAATCGGAGTAGGTAGATATATTTGTCTGCTCTTAAACCCCATCTCTTTAGTTTGTTCGGTTGCCCTGGTTCTGTTTTTGTTTCTTGCTTTACATGCATTGTGCATTAGGATCCTAGGATGGAATGCACATTATTACTACTACTTTAAACGCATGTTGATTGTATTGTGGAAGGAAAACCTGGAGGACCCGGAGAAGCATCCACACGACCACGGGGAGAACATGCAAACTCCAGATATACAGACGTCAGGGTCAGAATAAAACCCACAACCTCTAGTTTACTAGGCGAGGTAGTTAACATCACTCCACCGTGGGACATGGCTAACACGGGTGGTGGGTGATAACTGAACCAGTCCTGGGCCTCAGTAAGCTCCACTGATCCTGACGACGTATATCTCTGGTGTGTCGTGTTAACCATCAGCACTGGAGAGACAAAGATGTCCAGGAGTTCTAATGACCATGCCACCCTCTCGTGTTAGTTTAGGTTATTATATTGATTGAACTAGCTGGTCAGGATTGGGCAAAAATTTGCCCACTTGTAATCCATTCTCTATGTCTCTAAGAGTCTCTATGTATCTCTGTGGGTCTCCATGTTAGTTTAGATTATTAAGTTTGTTGAGCAAGCTGGCCAGGATTGAGCAATACTTAGCCCACTTTTCACCCTGGCAACTGAGAGCACACAGACTAAGTGTTTGTAACCTAACATTAAAACTAAAATAAGATATTTAAGAATCACAGTTAAGAGACAAACAACACATATAGTATTACAAATAATACAATTAAAAACAATATCATCATTGGTTCTCAAACTATATCCGGGACACTCTTGTTCCAGTGACTATCCAGGCACGTGTCGTGACAGGTACTGCACTTTAAATTTAGAGTGAAAACTCGTTTCTGTAGAACAGCTATTTGTGTTTATTTTGGTGTCCTTTACCCACACCTTTGATTAACACAGTTTACTACGTATGTATACAGGATCGCCTATATATTTGGAGTTTGCAGGTTCTCCCCCTATTCACGTGAATTTTTCTCCAAGTCTTCCCGGGGTTTCCCTCCAAATGTAGAATGATCATCACGCGTTTAGAGTATTCAGCTGCAACAAATTCCCACACGACTGATAAGCCACTTCATTGAGCTATCATTTGTTTGCCTAAGTTGCTTCTGGACATCTGTGAAAAAGATCTTTTTATCTCATCGGATTCATCCAGTATAAATATATATTCTGATTTTTATTCTGAACAATATGAATATAGCTCAGTGGGCCTTACCTGGTAAAAATTTTAAATAGTAAATATTTAGCTCAAGACTAAAGGCGCTTGTAAAAGCGGGTAGAACATATAATTAACATGAATGCGAGTGCTGGTTTTGTTTATTCATGATTTCAAGGTGTGAGGTTTCGAAGAAACAAAATGCAAATCCGCGTGTGTGAGTCGTGCAGTGTGAAAACTGCATCGCTGCATGGAAATACATTCGGTGGCGTTATCAGACATCTACCGCACAACGCCGCAATGTTCCCCGAGTTACTTTTCGTGAGAAGTACAGTGCAGCAAACCAAGCTGCTAACGCAAAACAAAAATCCCTAAATTTGAAGTTTTATTTTATTTTATACCTACGTGACTTTCCCGAAAGAACCAAAGAGTATGGATCCGTAAATTATACGTATATATTACAATAGGCCGAGACTTATGTTATCACCTGTTATTTATTGCTGGTGTAGTGCTGAACTTTACGCAGACAACTTCTTCTTTTTCATCCACGTATCTTTTCCACAGGGAGGGACGCAGAAAGGATGTATGGATGGCGTCTGTTTCAAATTTATCCATGAAAACATTGGCTATCACTGGTGACAAGCGGGAACCCATAGGGGTGCCCTCATTTTGTTTGTAGAAGGTACCATTCCAGGTGAAGTACGTGTTGGTGAGGGAGTGCACTGGAAGAGATACGTGGATGATACTTTCGTCATTTGGCCACATGGCCTCCCAGCATTGAACCAATTTCTAGGCCACATCAACTCCATACACCCATCCATTAAATTCACCATAGGAAGTGGAGGATGGCAAGCTACCTTTCTTGGATATTCTGTTTGAGAGGAGGCCCAATGGCTCTTTGGGACATTCTGTCTACAGAAAGGCCACCCACACAGATTCCTACTTGAAGCCTGATTCCTACCACCAAATCATGCAAACAAGCATGCTTTAATAATAATGTATGCATTGTCTTTGAAATTGATTGGCCTACACCAGAGAAAACCTTCTATATGGCCTTGTCTCACCAGTTTCAAAGACAATGCATATATTATCCGAGCATGTTTGCGTGCATGATTTGCCACAAGTATGTGCGGTGAATGCAGACGTGATGTCTTGCAAAAGGTGTCTATTTGTTGTTTGAATATCTTACAAACTCCAGTTTTATTGCCAGAAAGGCTAAAACCTAACCTTATTTTTCATAATTCTTGATACTGGAAAAAAAGTCCCATATCTGCACTACAATCTGTAAGTGTAAGTTCAAGAATAACAACTGGAGCTGGGCTCTCTGATTACTTGCATAGTCGGTTCCTCAAACGAATTTATCGTCGAATACTCAGTTAATTGACTAATAAACTATCTGCGTTACCACGTGAGTCACTGTACAGGAGCAAATGAATGGGGTTTTGTGACATCATCAGCATCATTATCTGCCATGTCACAATACACGTTGACTCTATGTGGTTTCCCGACTTCGGGGAAGGATGTTGGTGTGGGCGACAGTCGTAGTTGATTTAATTGTTCAGTCAACGAATCGACGTAGTCGGATCATATTGTGTTTTTATATTGTTTGTTGTTGTAATGTTCTGATCCCGTGCCCCGACTGGTAATGTGGACAAGAGCTTTAGGGCTCATCGGATTCCTCCATCGTAAATACAAATTATGATTTTGATATATCATGCCAGCTATAATAACATCACTTTCTCACTGCAGATGCGTGCGATGAAAAGACAGATGAAACGCTGAGTGTGCACTACGGGGAATCCGTGCTCCTGAATTGTTCACTGCCACCTGAACACAAAGAGCGTCACTTGAAATCTGTGCACTGGAAGAAAAAAACCCCCAACACACAATCAATAAACGTGAGTTGCTGTGAGATGTTGCTTTTCACAAATTTTAATTTCAGATTTAGATTGTATTTATTTCAACAGCAATTAATTAATTTACAACTTATTTTGGTATTTAGTTAGTTGTCCTTCCCCCCGCACCTCTGATTATCATGGTTGTGCTACATACGGTGTAATAGAGGTTCAATAGAGAGCACATATTGAACCCATCCCACTCTACTCCACAATCGCAACCCAACACAAAACTGCCATACACGTTTACTGGGGAAAAAATGCGCAACATTCTTCTGGTATACAGGAGGTGGTGGGTTCGATCCCGACCCTGAACGCCTGCTGGATATTTGGAGTTTGCATGGTTGTCCCGTGGTCACGTGGGGTTTTCTCAGGATCCTCCGGTTTTTCCCTCAACATGTATAATCAGCATCACGCGTTTAGAGTATTTGGCCGTTATACATGCCTGCCTGTTGATAAGCCACTTCGTTGAGCTATCATGTGTGGCCAGGTCGCTTCGGAAAAAAAACTACACCGCTTAGTGTGCCTGAACTGGTTAAATAAAAATAGTTTAGTGTTGACAAACAGTTCATGTCATAAACACAGAAATACTGGCTCAGGGGTGTGTAAGACACTTTCCTCCCAACCTCTCCAGGAAGCACCCCCCGAAGCTGTGAGCCAGCCCCACGCTCAGATTGGCTCGTCTCTCATGGTATGGGAACGAGGTGCGGCAGAACAGCATCGAGATACGAGTCATGGCAGGGAGAGCATCTCAATTGTCCATAATCCTTAAGCAATAACTACGTGCATTTCCCCTTATAATATTTGTGTAGTGTCCTCCTTCCTCGAGGCGTGTGTGTGCGTGTGGTATGCGGCACACACACTCAGTCGGAGACAAGCTAGTTGCAGGAGGCACTGTCTCTCTTTATTATCACGTTCACACCACCAACTTCGGCCTCCTCTCTCGCGACCACGCTGCCGTACAGCCCGGCCCAGACACGACCTTGTCCATGTTGCACTGACGGCATCGACTGAGACAGCCAACTACTGTCCGGCTGCGCAATGATCGGATGAAGGTGGCAGTAACGAAGGGGATGATGACGACAACAGTGATGATGAGACGAGTCCACTCCCAGAACCGGCAGCCTGGAGCTCTCGCTCTCCGCTGCTTAGTCTACTCAGCGTGGCTTGGCTCCGCCCTAGCCGTGCCTCACTTCTCAAACCCACCAGAGAGTTCCAGGGGCCTCCCTATGAGGTCTACCCTGACCCTTGCCCCAGTTTCTCTGCCCTGCCGGCACACCAGTGTATATGCTCAATGGACAGCAGTTGGCGCTGTGTCACTACATCACTCCCCACTCCGTTAACAAAAACAGCCGTCCCGGCTGCCAAAACAGCAGCCGCAACCGGTGGACAGGCAGAGCAACCCCATAATCTCGAGAAACACCCCTAACATCAACGCAGAAGAAAAAAATAATTCCCACAATCCCGTTACAACCGCGGCGCCCCCCACGAATCAACAGCTCACTTCGCTGCCACTCTGGTACCCCTGCTCACCAACTTCACACTCAACCCAAAGCGATGCACCCGATCTCGCATATTGGCAACCGCATTACTTAGCACGGTGCCCGCTTCTGTGATTTGGCGACATTTTACACAGCACGGTGGCCCCCATCCCTGAATCGGCAAAACATTCTACACAGCACGCCGCGCCTCCCTTTTCAAACCCACTAGAGGGTTCTAGAGGCCTCCCTATAAGGTCTACCATGGCGCTTGCCCCAGTTCCTCCACCCTGCCGGCACACCCATATATATTTGCTCAATGGCGTGTACGCTAAGTGTCCACCACAGTTGCCGCTGCTGTACAGCTGTCAGCGCTGTGTCACTTCATGCATATGTATATTTAACTTCTTTCGCACCGAGCCTGCCGTGCTAATTGGAGCTGCGTGGGAAAATCAACAAAATAAACACAAAAAGCAGTTCTAAAGACATGAGTTTTTAATCTAGATGATATAAAAGTGCATAGCTCCAGTGGCTTCCTAATATCGCAAGGAAGAGCGTTCCAGACGTTCGCAGAATCGCATCTGAAAGATGTGCGATGCAGTGACCATCTTTGTTCGATACCTATTCAAAAGCTGCTACAAGGATGACTGGAGTTCATGAGATGCTTTATGCTCCTTGACCAGATCAGCAAGATATTGTGTTTAATTTGTAATGAGTGCGACCTTATAATGCATTTGTTCGGTAACCGGATGCCAATGCATCTCGGTGAGAACTGGAGGGACATGGTCGGATCTTGCATTACCCGTCACGAAACGTGCAAAAGATTTTGTACACGCTGCAGCTTAGTAATGTTTTTGCCAGACGTCCCGTTGACTAGTGAGTTGCAATAATCGAGCCTTGTCGAATCTATGCTACACGTCACCGTGTTGGCTATGTCATGACTCAACAGTGGTCGAATGTGTCGTAGAGACCTGATACAAAAATTGCAGGACCGTAAGATATTTTTCCCGTAGAGATCTTACCATATTCAGGTCGAGTGTGGTGCCGAGGCTATTTAGATGAGTAGACAACTGGAGTCTGTGACCGCCACACCTTAATCCTCGCACAATTTTGTGTTCGTTATGCATGACTGTAAATCATCCACGACCTGTCTAACCTACATGGACTGGTTGCTCTGTTCGTGCTGGAGGACGCTGTCACATAGGCTGATGTCCACTTGTGTTACATTGACATTCATATGCCTGTATTTCATTTGTGTTTCCTGTGTATCTGGTGCTCTAACTATGCGAAAGTTACATGTAAATAAAAGCATTCGCTAAATAAACCAAAATAAAAAAAAATTCATTTATACTGGAGGAAGCCGATGAGCTATGGAGCTCTTTTTCACAGATGTCCAATAGATGCGGGTCAGAACATTGTAACGACAAACAATACAAAAAATATGACAGGAGTGCAACGTATAGGAAAGGGAAACAAATCACTTAAAAACAAACAAATAAAGCTAAACTATGTTTATTATCCCAGGCAAGGCACACTGAGCTATACAGATCTTTTTCAGAAGCGACCTGGCCACAAATGATAGCTAAACCAGGGGGCTTAAAGCAGCCAAATGCTCGAAGCGCATGTTTCTAAATGTGAAGGGAATACCTGCAGGACTCAGGTGGGTGGCCAACACCACACCCATATATTTGCAAACTCCAAATGCACAGGCGAAGGTCGGATGTAAAAGCATCCGCTAAATAAATGCAATAGTCATCGCAAACCCAAGAGATGCGTGCATGCATGTGTATGTGCCTCCCCTTCTAGCTCTTATACTACGAGGAGTCAATGAGAAAACTGGATACTCCTTCCGGAATAACGTTAGTGGGCAACCCAAGTGCTGGGGATGGTTCGCTGGTCTTCAACATGAGTGAGGTGGACAGGGCAGGCGTGTACTGGTGCGAACTCAAGGCCAAAGTCGGGATGGAATCGCGATTCTCTAAGAAGATTTGTGTGACCGTCAGAGAGGCCAGCTTGCCAGTCAGTACCACGGTTGCTACAGGTGCGTTTATATGCGTGTGTGTCCTGGCGAGGGGTTGGTAACCCCTCCACCTTCAATTAATTACCACTAAACCATGGGGACAAAATTTAATAAATAAGCTTGTGCCGGAGGCCACGGGAGGCCAGGCGTCTATGACGTCTCCTGGCCAAACCCCATTTGGCGGAGCCCAGAGACTGAATCCTTACCCTTGGGGCTCCTCCAAAAACAACAAAAAACCATTACGTGTGGCCATGCGGAATGTTCTAACGCTCACTGCGGAGGAGAGGCTGCCACTCCTCTGTTGGGAGCTGGACCGGCACTGCCTGGATCTCTGTGGTATTCAGGAGGTCCAGTGGACCGGCTTTGGTTTTCTGCCACCATGAGGGGTGGACAGTCCTCTACTCGGGGTAGGAGACTGCCAAACAACAGGGTGTGGCTCTTCTTCTGAAGTAAAATAATGAAGGGGGCGTGGGAGCGTGGTGGTGAGGTGTGGGAAGCTGTAAGCCCCAGGCTACTTTGGGCTCGCCTTCCCATCAACCAGAGGCGAGGAGTGGTGGTCGTGGTTATGTATGCCCCCACTCAAGACGAACATCCGTGGAGGGATGCAGGCAAGGCCGATGAGTAAAATGCCTTCTATGACCTCCTGTCACAGGTGCTAGCTAAAGTGGCCCCTCGGGATAGAGTCATCTTGTTGGGTGACTTCAATGCCCGAGTTGGTCAGGATGCTGGCACCTGGTCTGGAGTAATTGGAAGGCATGGGCTAGATCAGCTCAATAACAATGTCAGGAAGCTGCTAGATTTTTGTGCAGCCCATGGGCTGTAATGACCAACATGCTGTTCTGGCATCGGCGCATCCACACCACATCATGGATGCATGCCGGATCCGGGCAAGAACATCTGCTGGACTACATAACAACGGAACAGCACATGCGGCCCCATGTCCTTGACCCCAGGACCTACCGTGGAGCTGATCTGCCCACTGACCATCGACTTGTCATCTGTAAGATGCGCCTGCCATTTTTCCACTCCGGTGGTGGGTGTACACCCAGGACCCCATTCAAACCCTTAGTGGCATGGTCTCAGTTAGCTGACGAAAGTTGCAAGCGAGAATTTCATCATCACTTGCGGCAGGGGTTGGCATCGTTCCCCATTCCTCCTGATGTCGAGGGGAAATGGGCGAGGTTTAGGACTGTGGCTCATGCAGCTGCAATGGCTGCTTTGGGTACACGGTCCAGACCTCCTCAGAGACCCTGGCTGACAGAGGAGGTGTTCAAGCTGGCTGAGAAAAAGTGACAGGCCCACTCTCATCGGCTACAGCATCCCACGTAGGAGAATGAGGAGGCTTACCGCAGCCTTCGCTCGGAGGTTCGGAGAGCCATGAGGTGCTGCAAGGATGGGTGGTGGTCATAAGTTGCTGATGAGATGGAGTCGCCTCAATGGCCCGTGATCACAAATCGCTTTTTAATTCCATCAAAAAAGTAACCTGCAGCGCCAGACCTATTACCATCATTAGGGGAAAGAACGGTGATCAAATATTCGACCCCCAGGAACAGGTTTGCTGATTTGCTGAGCATTTCTGTGAGGTCCTGGGGGTGGGGAAATCCCTCAGCCAGGAAAACAACGTGGGACAAAGTGGGGATGACCCTGACGAGGCTGCCGTGCCTCGAATATTGTAGAAGTCAACCCCTGTGAGTGGCTGGCTGAGGTGCCATCTGTTGAGGAAGTACTGAAGGCGATCCAGGGTCTGAGACCATGAAAGGCACCGGGCAGAGATGATCTCCCAAGCGAAATGCTAAGGGAGGGGTGGGGTTTGTGCACAGACTGCCCTACATGACATCATAACAACAGTCTGGACCACTTGACGGGTTCCGCAGGATTGGAAGGATTCCGTGGTGGTGCCCCTCTTTAAGAAGGGGGACTGCATATACTGTAACAACTACAGGGGCATCTCACTCCTCAGTGTGCTGGGAAAGGTCCTGGCAAGGATTATTCAACATTACCTTGCTAGGCAGGCTGAGGAGAGGCTTGCGGAGCCCCAATGCGGTTTCAGAAATGGGCGGTCCTGCACAGATGCCATGTTTTCTGTCCGTCTGCTACAGCAGAGGTGTAGAGAATTCCAACAAAACCTACATCTCTGCTTTATTGACCTGGTCAAGGTCTATGATACCATCAGTAGGCCTGGGCTCTGGGTTGTTCTTCGTGCTTTCCAAGTCCCTGACCCTCTGCTCACGATCATTAAGGACCTTCATGATGGTGAGCGGGCCTGGGTAAAACTACGTGGCCGGGAGTCAGAGCCATTCCCTGTACACCTTGGGGTGCGACAGGGATGTCATCTGGCTCCCACATTACTTAACATTTATTTCGACCACGTAGTTCGAGAAGCCTTCAATAGCTGTACCGGAAGAATTTCCATCTGGTACAGATACAATGGGAGGCTGATCGATGTCCGGGTGCAGTCAAGGGATGGCTCCCTTTGTTCAACCATGTTATGTATGCCGATGATCTGGTAATAGCTGCTCACTCAGAGGAGGAGTTGGAGGCGCTGCTGCTGAAGCTGGAGCTTGCCACTAAGAGATGGGGCCTTACCATCAGCCCCACAAAAACTAAGCACCTGCCTGGGTATTTTGTACCATCGGGCACTCGACCCCCACAACTCCCAATTGGTGATAGGGCAGTTGTAGAGAGAGTGGAGAGTTTCTAATACCTGGGCAGTGTGCTCATGACCGGCTCCGGTTTAAGAGCAGAGGTCTCACTTCGAATCAGTCGAGCGCCATTATATTTTCATCGGTTGCGTAATGCTGTGTGGAAGCCACCTGGTCTGTCACTCCGCACGAAGCTTCAGGTCTTCTCGGCCACAGTCATTCCCTCCCTTCTCTATGCTTGCGAAACGTAAACCCCCGTAATGAAACATCTTCGCCGGTTAGAAATATTTAGGCTGGCCTGCCTACAATCCCTCCTGGGTTTAACCAGGCTGGTTTGTGTGAGGAGCTCACAAATCCTTCAAAGATCTGGACAAGGTCCCATCGGTGAGCTCTGATGGCAGGCAAGGCTGCGTTGGCTGTGCCATGTAGCCCGCATGCCCAGCCACCACATGCCTAAACAGCTTTTGTTCAGCCGGAACGAGGGGGCTAAACGTGCGCGGCACGGGCTAGAGAAGAGATAGAGTGATGTGGGATAGGAGGATGTGGAGCTGAGTTTACTTGCCGATGACTTGTACCAGCGGTGTCAAGATCGGCCTCTGTGGAGGAGGCTCGTGAAGGACGCTACTGGGCAGTTGGAGGCAGTCTCCCTCAAACAACAACGGAGGGCGGAGGAGCGACGCTCACAACAACGAGTGGAGCGCCGGGTGAGTAAATCACAGCAAGTTGGCACAGTAGGGGGCACACGTGGTGCATCAGCCAGTCGTCTCAGTCAGTCGACCTGTGGTATCTGGGTCTGCCCCGTGACCTGCCAGCGGGCGTTCGACACTACATGTGGCCTCAAGGTGCACAAAGCCTGGCACAAGCTTCGTGGTGACGTCACCACCACTTAGTGTCGAATGGTGGTTGTTGATGTTGTCCCGGCGACCTGATTTTGGTTCCCACTCACGGCCACCAACAATGGTGATGATTATCTGAACCGGTCCTGGGCCTTCCCCAGGTCAGCTCAGCCTCAAATGAGTAGCTGTGGTTGTGTGTAAACATGACCACTGGAGAGACAAAGGCGGCCGGGCATGGTGCTGCCCACCCACCCCTTCATGTGCCATACTTGCCTTCATAAGATCTCGCGAACACCACTTGACCCAAACAGTCTCTTAAGGATACATGGGGGATGTTTGTCTCTGTGCGCGCATGTGTAGAGGCTTTTTCAGTGAGATTGCAAAATGGGATGAAGTTTGGCCGTGATCTAAGCAAAGACCAGCAGCTACAACATCCACTCTCACTATCGTTATCGACGTTATCATCGGCATCATCATTATCGATGCCATCGACATATTGTCATCACCGACGTCATCATCGCTATCGTCATTATCGTTATCGATGTCATTGCCATCATTCACGTTACTATCGTCATCAGCTTCATCATCATTCTGATGGACATCATTGCCATAGTAATCACCATCATCATCGTTGTCATCATCTACATCATCATTGTCATCATCGTCTTTGTTCGATGGTTAGCCAAAAGTCACTGCTGCGAGGATGAGCAGAGTTCGCATGATGATGGTTCATGCTCCTTGACGGCGGCAGCACCAAACACGAATGTTTTTATCGATTTGTTGATCTTTGTTCTGTTTAACAGCAGTCTCTGCTGTATTTGTGATGACAGTCCCGCAGCTGGAATGGGTGGAGATGGCGGCATTTATCGCTGGCAGCGTGGTCCTCTTTGTCATCCTCGTAGTCCTCGCCGCGTGGGGCTACCACAGGAACCAGCAGAGGATAATGGAGCGCTTCATCAACAGAGCGAGGTGGACCACGCACACATAATGGGCAGCTCAGTTCTATTGCTCGAGTGTAATCATTGTTCAAACTTAATTTGGAGCTTTCGTGACTGCAGGAATTACTCTTTGGTTCTTTCAGTAAAGTAAAGTAAATACTAGCATACGACGTTTCGATTGCAACACAAGTAATTATCATCAGGTATAAATGAAATAGAAACACAAATCTAGTATACTTAGAAATCTAATGTAATACAACAGAGAGTCGGATAACATAACAGTCAACACCCTACCTGGTTGATTACGTTCTTCCTGAGAATGCTAAATTTGAGAGAGATAAAACACAGAACCAGAGACATATAGACAGACATATAAGCAGACAGATATCACAGAGATACATAGATAGAGAGAACAAACATAGGCACACAGAGAAACCACGCCTCTGTGTCGTGGCCTTAAATAGAGAGAGGGGGCGGGGGCAGAGAGAGAGGGAGGGGTTAGAGAAGTTAGCATGTCAATGAGTAGCACGTTGAGTGGTACGGTGCGAAAGCTTGAAAGAATTAGGAGACAGGGAGAGAGACACACTAAATTTTCACACTTAACTTCTAACTTAGCAATCTTTGAAAAACGTAATCAACCAGGCTATGCGTTAATTGTGTGTTGACCAACTCTCTGTGTTGCATTACATTACATTTCGAAATTTTGCTAGGTTATTTAATTTAGTGTGTCTCTCTCCCTGTTTCATAATTTTTTTCAAGCTTTTGCACCGTACCACTCACCGTGCTACTCATTGACATGCTAATTTATCTAACCCCTCCCTCTCTCTCCGCCCCCGCCCCCTCTTTCTATTTAAGGCCACGACACAGAGGCGTGGTTTCTCTGTGTGCCTATGTTTGTTCTCTCTCTATATATATCTCTGTGATATCTGTCTGCTTATATGTCTGTCTATATGTCTCTGGTTCTGTGTTTTATCTCTCTCTCAAATTTAGCTTTCTCAGGAAGAACGTAATCAACCAGGTAGGGTGTTGACTGTTATGTTATCCGACTCTGTTGTATTACATTACATTTCTAAGTATACTAGATTTGTGGTTCTATTTCATTTATACCTGATGATGATTGCTTGTGTTGCAATCGAAACGTCGTATGCTAGTATTTAATTTATTATTTTATCTTTATACGTGACTTTACCGAAAGAACCAAAGTGTAATCATTGTTTTTGTACATCTTGAAGAAAAAAAGGTGAGCTGATAAGATGTTCAAAAAACAAATATACACCTATTGCAAGGCATCATCAATGTGTGTGTGTATGCTGAACCTCGTTTGCACCGTACATAGCCAGGTTCGGGAAAGGGCAACAAACTAAACATGAAAAGAAACATGAAGTAGTTGCCACTGGGACGTCCTCTTGCCTCAGCCGCTGTATCAAGTTGGAATGGCTGCCACGGTGGCGTGATATTAACTACCTCGCCTGGTATGCAGGACGTCGTGGATTCGATCCCGATCCTGATGCAAATATTTGGAGTTTGCATGTCCTCCCCGTGGTCGCGTAGATTTTTCTCCAGGTCCTCCCGTTTCTCCCTCCACATTAAAAAACATGCGTTTCGAGTATTTGGCTGCTGCAATAATTTTGCACGTGATAAGCCACTTTTTTGAGCTTTCATTTGTGGCCAGATTGCTTCTGAAAAATAACTACATAGCTCAGTGGGCCTTACCTGGTAAAATAAAAAAAGAGTTCAATAGTTTAGTTTAATATGATGTAAGGCCCCCTTTAGTAGTGTGTATAGTATAGTGTAGTATGTAATGTACTCTTTGCGGAAGCTTGTTGCATCGATAGCGATGACTTTGTGTCTAGCAATAGGCTATTACAGGGAACTGAGATGAGGCTTGCTAATGTGTCCAAGTGGATCAAGAGTTCAGAGAGCTGACTTTAATGGGCTCAGCCTGGTGATTAACAGATTGAAATGTCCCATCAAATTATATTTGGCTCTGCACTTTATTTGGCACATTTACTATTGATTTAACTGTAATGCGATGGAAATTACTGTCAGAAGGGGCGTGGGTGGGAGAGAGCATCTTTCTCCTGTGGACCAGATAATCAAATGTGCACACGCTCAGGGACAACTACTTTGAAATGCAGTCAATATTCCCAGGCAGTCTCCCATCCGAGCTCTAACCATAGGTTTGGCACTGCCTTAGCTTTCGTCACCAGACAAGATGTGACAGAGTCGAGGTGATTTGGTCGACTGTATCATCATTGTAATCACGACAAACAGACTTTTGGGTGACGTTTACATGCCGCATAAGGTACTCATTTGAGGCTGATTTGACCTTGGGGATGCCCTGCACCGGTTCAGATAATCGTCACTGGTGTCGGTGGCCTTGAGTGGGAATCAAACTCGGGTCACCGGGTTTGTAGTGCAATGTGCTAACTGCCATTACTACCACCACAACTACCAACACTAATTTTGTGTTTTATTTTGCGCAGTGTTCAAACAACGGGGCCCTACGAGAATTTTCAACCAAGCAAGGTATGTTTCCACAAAAACAGCAATAACCGCCATTCACCACGAAGTGGCGGTGACGTCAGCACGGCGCTTGTGCCAGCCAAGGTGCACTCTGACGCCATGTGAAGTGTCGAAGGCTCTCCTCTGGCAGGAGGTCACGAGACAGACCCAGCACTGACACACATAATAGATTCACACACTGATAAACATTAAAATTGACACATTGAAACATACAGACACATATCCGACACACAACATCTCCAATTTTCCATGAGGTTATTGCAATGCCACTAGGTCCAACAACAACCGCAATTCACTCTTAAGTGGCGGTGATGTCACCACGCGCTTGTGCCAGGCTAGGTACAGCTTGAGCGGATTTTTTTCTGGGTCCTCCGGTTTTCCCTCTACATTTAGAAAGATGTGTTTAAGAGTATTTGGCTGCTATTCATTTCCACATGATAAGCTACTTCGTCGAGCTATCATTTGAAATAGCCAGGTCGCTTCCGAAATAGAGCTATATAACTCAGTGTCTCTTACCTGGTAAAATAACAATAATAATAGAATACGACGTTTCGATTGCAACACAAGCAACCATCATCAGGTAAGAATGAACGAGAAAACGAACAGAGTAAACTTAGAAATATAATGCAATACAACCCAGAGAGTCGGCTAACACAACAGTCAACACCCTACCTGGTTGATTACGTTCTTCTAAAGATTGCTAAATTTGAGAGAGACAAAACACGGACACGGAGACATATAGACAGACACACAAGCAAGGTGGGTATGTAGGTGGGTCGATGGATGGTGGATACGGAGGTAGATAGGTTGATAGGTCGTTGGGTATGTAGGTGGGTAGGTAGGTGGGTAGCTCGGTAGGTGGGTAGGTAAGTAGGTGCGTAGGTAAATAGGTAGATATGGAGGTTTGTCGGTAGGTTGGTGGCTATGTGGGTAGGTGGGTAGGTATTTAGATGAGTCGGTCGGTGGGTGGGTAAGGTCGGTGGGTAGGTGGTTAGGTATGTGGGTCGGTAGGTGATTGAGTATGTGGGTGGGTAAATAGGTAGGTGGGTAAGTAATTGAGTAGGTGGGTAGGTCGGTGGGTGGGTAGGTGTAGATGAGTAGGTAGTTGGGTAGGTGAGGAGATGGATAAATAGGTAGGTGGTTAAGTAGTTCGGTAGGTGGGTAGGTATGTGGGTATTTGGGGAGGTGTGTAGGTAAGTAGGTGGATAGGTAGGTGGTTAGCTAGGTAAGTAGGGGAGTGGGTAGGTAGGTCGGTATTTGGGTAGATACGTAGGTGGGTAGGTAATTAGGTGGGTAGGTACATAGGTAGATAGGTAGGTGGGTAGGTAGGTTAGTGGCTAGGTAAGTAAGTGGGTTAGTAGGTGGGTCAGTAGGTGTGTTGGTGTGTAGGTAGGTGGGTAAATAGTTGGGTAGGTGGTTAGGTCGGTGAGTAGGTAGGTAGGTGGGTAGGTAGGTAAATACGTGGGTAGGTTGGTAGGTAGGTGGGTAGGTAAGTAGATGAGTAGGTAGGTGGGTAGTTAGGTGTGCAGGTTGGTAGGTAGGTGGGTCGATGGGTGGATGGATACCTAGGTAGATGGGTGGCTAGGTGGGTAACTCGTTGGGTCTGTGGTAGGGTAGGCAGGTGGGTAGGTAGGTGGATAGGTAGGTGGATGAGTAGGAGGATAGATACGTAGGTGGGTAGGTAAATAGGTGGGTAGGTTAATAGGTAGATATGGTTTGTAGGTAGGTTTGTGGCTAGGTGCGTAGATGGGTAGGTAAGTATATAGGTAGGTGGGTAGTTGGGTGTAGGTGGGTACGTTGGTGGGTAGTTATGTCAGTAAGTCGGTGGGTGGGTAAGTTAGGTGGGTGGGTGTGTAGGTCGGTGGGTAAGTAGGTGAGTAGGTCGGTGGGTGGGTAAGTAGTTGAGTAGGTAGTTGGGTAGGTGAGGAGATGGATAAATAGGTAGGTTAATAAATAGGTTGGTCGGTGGGTGGGTAGTAGGTGGGTGGATACATGGGTTGGTAGGTGGGTAATTGATTAGGTATGTAGCTAGGTACTGTAAGTAGGTGAGTCGGGAGGTGGGTGGGTAGGTATGTTGGTTGGTAGCTAGGTGGGTAGGTTGGTGGGTAATTGGGTAGATGGGTCGGTTGGTATTTTGGTAGGTGGGTAGGTAAGTAGATGGGTAGGTAGGTCGGTAGGTAAATAAGTGGGTAGGTTTGTGGGTAGATAGGTTGATGGGTAGATGGGTAGGTAGGTGGTTAGGTAATTAGATGGAAAGGTGTGTAGGTAGGTGTGTAGATTGATAGGTGGGTAGGTAGGTGGGTCGATAGGTGGGTGGATTCGTAGGTATATGGGTGGCTAGGTCGTTGGTATGTGGGTCGGTAGTAGGTACTTGGGTAGGTGGGTGAGTCGATATTTGTGTAGGTGGGTAGGTAAGTAGGTTAGTTGGTGGGTAAGTAAATAGATAGATAGGTGGGTAGGTAGGTTGGTGGCTAGGTGGTTAGGTAAGTAGACACGTAGGGTAGGTGGGTGTGTAGGTGGCTCCGTGGGTGGGTAGTTTGGTCACTAGGTAAATGTGTAGGTCAGTAGGTGGGTAAGTTAGGTGGGTAGATAGGAAGTTGGATGGGTAGATAGGTAAGTAGGAGGGTAGGTAGGGATGAGGGTGGGTGGTTAGACATGTTGGTGGGTAGCTAGATGGATAGTTTGGTGGGTAATTGGGTAGGTAGGTGGGTTGTTGGGTATTTGGGTAGGTGGGTAAGTAAGTAGGTGGGTAGGTAAATAAGTGGGTAGGTTGGTGGGTAGGTAGGTTGATAGGGAGGTGGGCAGGTAAGTAGATGGGTAGGTAAGTAGATGGGTAGGTAGGTGTGTAGGTTGGTAGGTGGGTTGATGGGTGGGTAGATACGTAGGTAGATGGGTGGCTAGGTAGGTCGTTGGGTATGTGGGTTTTTAGGTGGGTAGGTGGGTGGGTAGGTGGGTGAGTAGGTGTGCAGGTGCGTGTGTAGGTAGTTCAGTATTTGGGTAGGTGGGTAGTTAAGTAAAACGGTGGGTATGAGGGTACATACATAGGTGGATATGTAGGTGAGTAGATAGGTTGGTGGCTAGGTGTGTAGGTGGGTAGGTAAGTAGATAGGTATGTGGGTTGGTGGGTTTGTAGGTGGGTGTGTGAGTGGGTACGTGGGTGGATAGTTAGGTGGGTAGGTAGATGGGTAGGTCAGTGGGTGGGTAAGTTAGATGGGTGGGTAGGTGGAGAGGGGGTGGGTAGGTGGGTGAGTAGGTGGGTAGTTGGGTGGGTAGGTAAGTAGGTAGGTGGGTGCATAGGTAGATGGGTGCATAGGGTAGGTGGGTAGGTCGGTGGGTGAGTAGGTAGATGAGTGAGTAGGTAGATGAGTAGGTAGTTCGGTATGTGAAGAGATGGGTAAATATGTAGATGGTTAATCATGTGGCTAGGTGGGTGGGTAGGTAGGTGGGTGGATACGTTGGTAGGTGGGTGAGTAGGTCGTTGGGTTGGTACTGGGGTAGTTGGCTAGGTGGTTAGGTTGGGTAGGTAGGTGGGTATGAGCGTAGGTGGGTGGGTAGATTGATGAGTGGGTAGTTAGAAGTTATGTAGGTGGGTAGGTGGGTATGTAGATAGGTGGGTTGGTGGGTAGGTAGGTAGATAGGTAGGTGGATGGTTATGTAGGTGACTAGGTAGCTGGGTGGGTAAGTAGGTAGATAGTTGGGTAGGTTAGTAGGTAGGTGGGATACGTGGGTCGGTTTATAAATAGGTAGGTGGGTAGGTGGGTGGGTGAGAAAGTAGGTGGGTAGGTTGGCAGCTAGGAGGTAAGTAGATATGTACGTGTGTGTTTCGGTGGGACGTGGGTGGGTAAGTTTGGTGGGTAGGTAGTTAGGTAGGTAAGTAGGTGGGTATGTAAGTAGGTGGGTATGTAGGTGTTGAGATAGGTAAATAAGTGAGTAGATAGATGGTGGGTAGATCAGTGGATGTGTAAGTTAGGTGGGTGGGTAGTTTGGTAGGTGGCTTTGTGGGTGGGTAGGTGGGTAAGTAAATAGGTGGGTAGGTGGGTGCAGAGGATTGTGGGTGCATAGATAGGTTGGTAAGTAGTTGAGTAGGTCGGTGGGTGGGTAGGTAGATGAAGTAGGTAGTTGGGTCGGTGAGGAGATGGGTAAGTATGTAGGTGGTTAAGCAGGTGGGTAGATGGTTAGCTGTTTGTGTGGATACGTCGGTGGGTAGGTGGATGAGTAGGTCGTTGGATAGATGGGTAGGTAGCTGGATTAGTTGGGTAGGTGGGTAGGTCGGTGGGTATAAGGTTAGGTAGGTGGGTAGATCGATGTGTAGGTAATTAGAGGGTAGGTAGGCGGGTAGGTGGGGAGGTGGGAAAGTAGGTAGGTGGGTAGTTGGGTAGGTGGGTAGGTAAGAAGGTAGATAGTTGGGTAGGCGGGTAGTTAAGTGGTTAGGGTGGTAGGTAGGTATGTGAATAGGTAGGTGGGTGAGTAGATGGGGAGGTGGGTATTAGGTAGGTGTGTAGGTAGGTGGGTCGTTAGCCGAATATTTGGGTATGTAGGTAGGTGGGTAGGTAGGTGTGATGGTTAGGTAGGTGACTAGGTAGGTTGGTGGGTAAGAAGTTAGATAGCTGGGTAGGTTGGTAGGTAGGTGGGTATGTGGGTAGATTTGTAAATAGGTAGGTGGGTAGGTAGGTGGTTGAGAAGATAGATAGGTGGGTGAGTAGGTAGTTGGGTAGGTAGGTTGGTGGCTAGGTGGGGATGTAAGTAGATAGGTAGTTGGGTAGGTGGGTAGGTCGGTGGGTATAAGGTTAGGTAGGTGGGTAGATCGATGTGTAGGTAATTAGAGGGTAGGTAGGCAGGTAGGTGGGGAGGTGGGAAAGTAGGTAGGTGGGTAGTTGGGTAGGTGGGTAGGTAAGAAGGTAGATAGTTCGGTAGGTGGGTAGTTAAGTGGATAGGGTGGTAGGTAGGTATGTGAATAGGTAGGTGGGTGAGTAGATGGGGAGGTGGGTATGTAGGTAGGTGTGTAGGTAAGTGGGTCGTTAGCCGAATATTTGGGTATGTAGGTAGGTGGGTAGGTAGGTGTGGTGGTTAGGTAGGTGACTAGGTAGGTTGGTGGGTAAGAAGTTAGATAGCTGGGTAGGTTGGTAGGTAGGTGGGTATGTGGGTAGATTTGTAAATAGGTAGGTGGGTAGGTAGGTGGTTGAGAAGATAGATAGGTGGGTGAGTAGGTAGTTGGGTAGGTAGGTTGGTGGCTAGGTGGGGATGTAAGTAGATAGATAGTTGGGTAGGTGATTAAGTGGGTGTGTGGTTTGGTACGTGGGTGGGTAATTTGGTTGGTAGGTAGGTGGGTAGGTCCGTGGGTGAATCGGTGGGTAAGTAAGTAGGTGGGTAAGTAGGTGGATAAGTAGTTGTTTATATAGGTAGATAAGTGGGTAGATAGGTGAGTAGGTCGGTGGGTAAGTTAGGTGGGTGGGTGGGTAGTTTGGTAGGTGGGTGAGTTGGTGCGTGGGTAGGTGGGTGGGTAGGTAAATATATGGGGGGGGGGTGGATAGGTAGGTGGGTGCATACGTAGGTTGGTAAGTAGTTGAGTAGGTGGGTAGGTCAGTGAGTAGGTAGATGAAGTACGTAGTTAGGTAGTTGGGTAGGTGATGAGATGGGTACATATTTAGGTGGTTATGTAGCTGGGTAGGTAGGTGGGTGGATACGTGGGTGGGTAAGTGGGTAGGTGGATGAGTAGGTCGTTGGGTAGGTGGGTAGGTATTTGGGTTTGTTGGGTCAGTGAGTAGGTAGGTGGGTAGGAAGTTAGGTAGGTAGGTGGGTAGGTTGGTGGGTTGGTTGATCTATGGGTAGGTAGTTGGACATAGATGGGTAGGTGGGGAGGTTGGTAATTAGGTGGGCAGTTGGGTAAGTGGGTAGGTAGCCGGGTAGTTGGGTAAGTGTGTAAGTAGGTGGGTTGGTGGGTAGGTAGTTGGGTAGGTGGGTGGTAAGGTAAGTGACTATGTAGGTAGGTGGGTAAGTTGGTAGATAGTTGGGTTCGTTGGTAGGTAGGTGGGTATGTGGGTAGGTTGGTAGATAGGTATGTGGGTAGGTGAGTGGGTGAGAATGTAAGTGGTTAGTTGGTGGATGGGTAGGTAGCTGGGTAGGTGGTTAGGTAGGTGAGTATATGCAGGGGAAGTCTGAGAGGTGACGGATACGAGAAGGTATGGACAATGATGTCAGCGATGTAAGAGTATGAGTTGAGGCGACTCAAATCGGATTGCGCTATTAATAAATTGACAACGTCTTTGCGAAACGACGTAAAAGGGAGAGACATGAATCAGGGTATTCTTGGACACACACCGGACCTGGTTGGCACTCTACAAGTTGAGGTCCTTTTAAAGAGGCGTAGTGAAGGAATGCAGCGAACGCCGCGTGCCACGCGCACAAAGACAACGAAAGGCCTGCAAGCTCACATTCCACATCCCTTTCACCCTTTCTCATTGCGATGACGTATGTGCACATCATTGGAATGCCGTACACGTACGTCATCGGAGTGGATTTGGAAGAAAAACTAAAATAAAATAACAGCACGCGTGGCATTGTGGCACAGTTTGGCGCTAGCTATCATATAATGCAGCGGTCATGTCCCTACCGTTCTATGCGGTGCACCTGAAGACGGTTGCTTGTGTTGCGATCGAAACGTCGTGATCTATTATAATGTTTCTACCTACGTGACTTTAACGAAAGAACCAAAGAGTATGGTTTCCTGCAGTTACGAAAGCTTCAAATCAAAAGTCATAATGTCTTTACAATGACTGCGTTACCACTCCTCTTAAAATAAAATTAATGTGAACCACTTGCACGTTCCAAGATTCAGCGGTGAATGGGACACCACACCATGAGACTTGCATATGTCTTGGAAATGGAAAGTGTTCATAACCTCAATGGCCCCACACCACCCAATCTAGAAATTTTATATTTTATCTTATCAGTTTAAAATCCTCCCCACCTTTTATAAATTTGAATCTGCTGGCCAATCGCAAGATACCATTAGTGTGCAATTCTTATCTCTTGAAGTGATCAAATTAACGTCAAATTTGCACGTTGAATTAAAATTCCTACTCAAATAATGTCCATGCAAAAACAAAAAGAAGAACCTGGGCTTGCCTGCACCCTCCCGCCAGCGAGCCCTCACCACTTCATATGCACTCAAAAGGTGCTTCAGAGATGGCAATTTGTGTATGTTGGTGTTGTTGTCCATATGCGTATGCGTCTCTGTTTGTTTTGTGTTTTTTGTGTACCTGTGTGTATATGTGTGTTTCCGTGTGTCTGTGTGCATTTTCTTCTCATGAAAATACTTAACTTTATTTTTCATCTCAGCCGCGTGCAACCAATGGACGACCTTCATTAAGCACTATTGGAATGGCATCTGCGCAGCAGTCCAGCAAATCAGTGGTCATTCGGACAGACGAGCAGGTCAGACGAAAACAAGCACACACACGTACACGTTATAAAGTACACATTGCAAAAAAAGGAAGTGTAATGGTAAGTAACTTGATTTGAAGCTTTCGTGACTGCAGGAATTATTCTTTGGTTCTTTCGGTTAACTCACGTAGAAAGAAAATAAATTAAATAATAGAATGCGATGTTTCGATTGCAACAATCGTCATCAGGTAGAACTAAATTTGAGAGAGAGACAAAACACATACACGGAGACTGTTTGTGTGGTAGAGTTTTCTTAAACACCCTCTAAAGGAGTCTCTAGGGCTACCAATGCAGGCTAATATGTTAGCAGTGGAACTAGCAAGTAATTGCAGGGCCTGCATCTTTACCTCTTATAAGTATGTATATATCTTGAACTTCTTTGGCACTATACATAGCCAACCGTGCTAATCAGAGGTGCGAGAGAAGGACAACACACCAAGCACAAAACACAGTCCTAAATAAATAGCTTTACAATATAGATTATTTAAAAGTGCAAAGCTGCAGCAACTTACTAATAACGAAAGGAAAAGCGTTCCAGACGGCCACAGAAGTGCATGTGGAGATTATAAATTGTATTTTACAAATGCCATTCCAAACTGCGTTTCTAAACTAATCACCCTCATCAGCAACTTTAGCAATTTCCCTTTCAGACTAAAATTGACTGAGAGTATGTGTCAATGTGTGGGGTGCCCGCCAAAGATATTTGAATCCTCAGAAAGGAAAAGGGATGTTTGAAACATACGTTTTAGAGTATTTGTCTGCTATAAATGTCCACATGATAAGCCACTTCATTGGGCTTTCATTTGTGGCTTGATCACTTTTGAAAAAAAGCTCAGTGGGCCTTGATAAAATAAGAAAAATTGTTTAGGTTTAGTATAGTTTGTGAAAAAATATTATCTGGACTGCATTAATTTTGTTCTCTGCTACTTCTTTCAGAACTTTCAGGAAGCATGTATCTATGACAATGAAACCTAGAAACGGGAAGACAAGAATACGATACAAGCATCTACTGGCAGGAGGAGGGAATTAATTGTCAATGTCAGAGGCAATGAACTGGCACCACAGAGATTCTGGGATTAAATCCAACTTCGAGACCTCCATCATTAATCTATAGAAGCCCCCTCAGTAATACTTTACTTGGTGGTAGGCACATATTCTTCTCCGCTACCCCTGTACGTTGGACATTTGCGAAATTGTTTATTATTATTGTTGTCAAGCCCCAAATATCACACCTCCTGGCTTTGACATTCCTCGATTAAACTGATGTAACCATCAACCACATGATATAATTAACAGACCGATGCACGCATTTGCGTCATAAGTGGAAACTTAGAGACAAGCCACAAGAGGGCGACTGTGGGCATGCAACGCAAACTATAGACCATACAGCAAACACCACTTTAGTCTGCGCTCATTCAATTCAAGAAAACCGAAGCTACACGAACTCTCTATTCAAGGCATCTTGTGGCTCGCAGACATCGACAATGCATTTAGCTCCTGCCATTCAAGAACAGAATTATTCAAAATAGAGGTTTTTTGGGTTAGATCGCGTAAATATATAAATGTGTCTTTAAAACCCACCACCACCCGACACAGCCAACTAGTAAGGGTTGTCACGTAAACAGAACATGCCAATTCGTCACTAGTACAGCACACCGGTGTGTGGGAGAGCCAAGCCACAACATGTACAATCTGATTCTAGATTTGAGGCTTTCGTAACTGCAAGGATACATACTCTTTGGTTATTTTCGGTAAAGTCACGTAGGTTAAAAAAGAAAACAAATAAATTAAATCACGACATTTCGGAGGCAACACAAGCCTCCGTCTTCAGGTGGAACCGTCACAGCAAAATTACTCACTTGATACAGTAATATTGGTGACGGTTCCGAAAGAACCAAAGAGTATGGATTCCTGCAGTCACGAAAGCTTCAAATCAATGTTTTTGTCATGAACATTTTAAAGGAAAATATAATCTAGAAATACAAATCTTGTATATATATGCCTGGGATTTATCTCTGAGTTGTAAATTCTTAGTACGAAGCCTCTTCAATGAAAAGAGGCATTGACATTATTGAATCATTCCACTTTCGTGCTATATAAAATCAATGAAGTCATGTTATATAAATAACGGGACACATGTCGCCAGAGCATTTATATCCGTGACTTTAAAGTCCTTTTTGTAAATCAATTATGAAGCATCCACTGTCAGACAGCCCAGGAAACACAGCTTAGGTGTCTATCTACAGTGTTATAGAGCTGTCAGATACATAACAAATAATATTTCTCGGTGATAAAGAAGCGGAATATTCTGGCCTCGGACTCGTGTGGTGGATCTCGAACAGCTTGGGATGAGGTAATCAGATGTGAACCAATTTGGTGGTGGTGGGTAGAGAGACTGGTGAGTTTTTGGTCACGAGGGTGGCTCCTGTTTCCAAGCATAAGGGTTGCTGGTAGGTTCCCGTGACCTGGAAATTCTATATTATTTTAGAGTAGAGGCAAACACCCTCTGTAATGGGAAGCTACTGCATGAAGAGCTTTCGATAGTTTGTTTCCCGCTTTACAAACACGGTGCATTGGGATCTATGGATGAAGCGGGGTTTACAAATATAAATTTGTCTTGTTCGAAAGCTATTACGTTAATCTTGACCGAGATACCAGTCAAGTTGTCAATTAAAATGTACTGGTCAGTCCTCCCCCACCCCCCTCTTCTTTCTTCCATTCTTCCATTGTCTCCTTCATAAATGCACTGCTCCCAATTGGTACCCCTACCGTGGTAGGGAAGCGAGCCGGGATGCCCTCGATCGATCCAAAATTTTGCGTGTGCATTACGTAGAGTTTGTTATGCATTTCAATGTTGGAGTTTTTTTTCCTCTTTGAAATTTACTTAGTATTCTGGATTCTTTCACGACAATAAAATATCCAACAACAACGGAGGGCGATGCTCACAACAACGAGTGACAAAATACAGCAAATTTACAAAGTACGGGGCACAGCTGTTTCATCTACCAATCATATCAGTCAGTCAACCGATGGCAACTCGGTCTGTCCTGTGACCTGTCAGCGAGCCTTCGATACTTTACGTAGCCTCAAAGTGCACCTGGCCTGGCACAAGCACCATGGTGATATCACTGTCACTTAGTTTTGAATGACGGCTGTTGTTTGTATTGCTGTTATTGTTGATGGTGATAGTAGTGGCTGTGCTAGTGATGGTGGTGTTGGTGTTGTCCGGTAAAAACAACCCCATTCCTTGTTCACCTTAGGGTGGAACAGGGATGTCATCTGGCTCCCACATTACACTGGTCTACAATTTTTTAGACTTCGTCTGCTACAGAGATGAAATGTGCTGTTTATTATGGTTTTGATGTTCTGAATTCAAATATAACAATTAAAACAACTGATTGGCTACTATTCCCAAGATATTTAAGTTTTAACATTTTACATCTACATATATTGTGTAGAGAATAGAGTTTTACTCATAAATTGTAAACCTAGGTCTTTAAATGTGTTATGGTTGCTTTACATAATAACATGTCACCTGTCCTGTTCATATAACACTTAAAAAATCAGCAAAAGGGTTATATAAATAAAATGTATTATGAAACAAAAGGCAAAAAACTATTATATATAAGTACATAGTTTAGTCCTTATTCAGTGTCTACTCGGTGCTTCTTGGCTTGTCTCTTGTATTCATTAAATGGAGCATCTCTTGTCACTGTACAGCAATAGTCTGCAAGCATTTTCGATTTAAAGCTTTCATGACTGCAGGGATTCATCTTCTTAGTTCTTTCGGTAAAGTCACGTAGAAGGGAAATTTAACCGCCTCTACGGGGAGGGATTCCACGTAACTTTGAGATCCTTCAACAAACTCCGGGATAATAAGGCTCAGATATGTAGTTTATATTTTAGTTGTTTACGTGGTGGTTTGGCTGCTGCAGCTCCTTAAAATTAAAATGTCCCTCCCTCTATTCCCTTCTACGTGACTTTACCGAAAGAACCAAGAAGATGAATCCCTGCCGTCACGAAAGCTTTAAATCGAAATTTAACCACCTCTACGGGGAGGGATTCCACATAACTTTGAGATCCTTCAACAAACTCCGGGATAAGAAGGCTCAGCTATGTAGTTTATATTTTAGTTTTTTACGTCGTGGTTTGGCTGCTGCAGCTCCTTACTATTAAAATTTCCCTCCCTTTATTCCCTTCTACGTGACTTTACCGAAAGAACCAAGAAGATATTGGTTATACTGCACTTTTGTGATGCAAAAGTCACTTCACCACAAACATAGCAGAAGTTATCTGCTTTGTTCACACAAGTACGAGGCATGTAAACCTAGTTATGATTGCATCAGCCATGACTTCTAGGAATAACATGATGCAATTCATATCATGTATGACGTAATACCAGATTCAGATTGCATAATTAATTGTTTTGCTCAAAAAGCAAGTACTATCCAAACCCAGTCATATATTTATTCATAGAGCCTGTCAAAGATGTATTTTAGTTATTTCTGGTTTAAATTGAGATCCCTTCCCTTTATAACTCACTTATCCTCCGCCATTCCAAGTCAAGGGTCGTATATACTGACTCAGTAGCATATCTTTAAACCTAGAGCCAATCAACAATTCTAAGCATAATTTCCATTCTTAGTGATCCAGAATTAGTAAAGTTGGCCTACAGTTATTTCGGAATTATTTTGGCTGTAGACCAGCGTTATTTAACATCATCTTTGACCACGTTGTTTGGGAAGCTTTCCTTGGCTGTACTGGAGGAGTTTCAATCTGGCATTGATACAATTAGAGGCTGATTGATGCCCGGGTACAAGTCGAGGGATGTCTCCTTATTGGTCAACCATGTTACGTATGCTGATGATTTTGTGATTGCTGCTCACTAAGAGGAGTTGTTGGAGACACTGCTACTGAACCTGTAGTGTGCCACAAAGAGGTGGGGCCTTACCATAACCCCTACCAAAACTAAGTACCTGTCTGGGTATGTTGTGTATCAGACTCTCTACCCCCACAATTCCCCATTGGTGATGGAGCAGTTGTGGAAAGAGTGGAGAGTTATCTATACCTGGGCAGTGTGCTTATAACTAGTTACAGTTTGACAGCAGAGGTTTCACTCCGAATCATTTGGACGGCATTATCTTTTCAACCGGCTACGTAATACTGTGTGGAAGCTACCTCGTCTGTCACCCCACACGGAGCTTCTGTTCTTCTCGGCCACAGTCATGTCTTCCTTTCTCTATGCTAGTGAATCGTTGACCGCTCCAATGGAACATCTGCGCTGGTTAGAAACATTCAGGCTGGCCTGCCTACAATCCATCCTGGTTTAACCAGGCTGGATTGTGTGAGGAGCTCGCAAATTTTTGAAAGAGCTGGACATATTCCCATCAGTAAGCTCCTCCGGCAGGCAAGGCTGCGTTTTGCTGGGTCATGTAGCCCACATGTCGAGCCAACGTATGCCCAAGCAGCATCTGTTTGGCTGGATAGAGAGGGCTAAACGGGCATGACATGGGGTGGGGTATAGATGGACTGATGCAGTACAGGAGGATGTGGAGTTGAGTGGACTTGCCGAAGACTGCTACAAGCGGTGTAAATATCGGGCACTATGGAGGAGGCTCGTGAAGGACGCTTCTGGTGAGTTGGAGGTAGTCGCCCTCCAACAACAATTGAAGGGGCAGAGGAGCGATGATAACAACGAGCCAAGCGCCGAGTGGCAAAAATGCAGCAAGTTTGCACAGGAGGGGGCACAGCTGGTGCCCCCTCCTGTGCAACCAATAACATCTGGGTCTGTATGGTGACCTCTTTTTATTGAGTCTGACACTTCGTGTGGCCTCAAATTGCACCTGGCCTGGCACAAGCACCTTGGTGATGTCATCCCCACTTCGAGGCGAATGATGGTTGTTGTTTATGGTGGTTGATGGTGGTGTTCGTGTGGTTGTTGGTGGTAGCCGTAAGAGGGGATTGAACGTGGGTTTTTGTCTGGTTTGTAACCACTACTACTCTCCTGATATATTTTTTTCTCAATCGATTATGTACAACTTGAAAGTTCGTGTTATTTTTCTTTGTCATATTTATGGAGCATTTAGCCTCAACATTGAGGTGGTCGGATACCCAGTGTCTGAGGTTATATGTTCTCGTAAAAATTTGATAATTCTCACATGAAAAAAAAACATTTAGACAATCCCAACTACTGTCACGCGACATAAAATCTACGCGGGCAAGGTGGGAGAATTTAGGGGGTCTGCGCCACCTGATGGCATGACGGAGCAGCGAGTGCCGGCCTGGAGCAGGTCCCTCCCCTCTGCCAGGCCCTCCTACACAATCATTTCTCGACTCCGCTCGCAACAGTGCTTCTCAAAAGCGACGCCCTCCTGAAGGGTACTTCCCTCCAAGTGCATCATCGTGCGCCACCAGTTAATCTTCACACACCTCGGCTGGACAACCACTCCGCACCTCACGACCTTACACCGGGGTGAATACTCCACCCTCTGCTTCGTTGAGTTGGAGGTGCCTGTACAATCATCGGTTTGATAGGGTGTCTCTATATCGGTGGATATCTCTACACGTATATGGGTTTGTCTGTGCATGTATGTACCTACTGTATATGTAACCAGCGACTTGCTTAATTTCCTGCCTGCTAGCCTTCAACACTTCACGTGACCTCGAGTCTGCATTAACCACAAATATTCGTGGTAAAACATGCATGTTATCATCTTAAGACTGGCAAAAAGGGGTTGCCATCAATAAAACATTTGTTTAACCCGAGCTATTGATGCTTTGACGTTTGCATCGTCCTTGTTGCCATTTTGTTTTTGTTGGGTCTATAGCAACTGGTGAGACAAAGTCTGTCTCTGGTGTAGACCCAATCTGTTTCAAAGACAATGCTTTACATTAGCTAACACAAAACCCAAGTTTGTTTACATGTTTTACCACTAATAAGGAAAGTATTTTATTTGTGTTGTAATTTTTTCACTTCAAAGTTAACTTGAAACCCAGGAAGTAACGAATCCTCTTTATCAACTAACCGGAAGGATTTGAGACATGCAAATATAAAATCTACAACCAAGTGTAAAGTGGATGCCAACAGTGTGTTTATACCAGAATCAGTACCCCAATAATTTAGTAAAATTGTAATCGTAAGAGATATGTGGTGTCCAGGTGATCCACCGGTATAAAAATGGAACCACCGTGGCTTGGAAATGTTAACTAACTCGCCTGGTATACAGGAGGTCGTCGGTTCAACCCCGACCCTGACATCTATATATTCGGAATTCGCATGCCTTTCTCTCCGTGGTCGTGTGGAAATGTATCCGGGACCTCTGGTTTTTCCCTCCACATTTATAATCAACATCACGTGTCAAGAGTATTTGGCTGGTATACATTTTCATGTGATGATAAGCCACATCGTTGAGCTATAATTTGTGATAGCCAGGTCACTTCTGGAAGAAAGCTACACAGCTCAGTGGGGCCTTATCTGGTAACAAATATATATAGTTTAAGAGTTTATATTCTTAGGTTTTTTTCGGTAAAGTCACGTAGGTAAAAATTTTAAATTAATAAAAGTAAAATAAAAATAAAATAAAAATCACGACGTTTCAGAGGCAACACAAGCTTCCGTCTTTAGGTGGAACTGTCACAGCACGATAGCTGTATCAAGTGAGAGAAATTCCAAGAACACAGTATTTGTATATATGTAATGCGAGCGTAAATGGGCAGGTCGGACGTGACGATCCGAGAGGGAGGTGTCAGGGTCACGTGGGAGAGGGAGGAGTCAGGGTCACGTGGGGGAGAAGTTATAACGGGTAGACAGGAAGACATCGGGGGCAGTCGAGGGAGTGAAGAGGGGAGACCACGTTGGGTGGTCGCCGTGCCTCAGCCTGGTGACTGAGGGGCTCATGACGGCGCCAGCCAGCGGGGCAGAATAGAGAGAGGAGGAGGCGGCCACGCAGGGCACGGAGAGAGCAGAGTGCGCGGGGCGCACAGGGCGTGCAGGGGTTGCACGGAGCAGCCGAGTAGCTGCAGACTAGCGGAGGCTAGCAGAGGGTGCGAGGTTGCACAGGCAGCAGAGTAGCTGCAGACTAGCAGAGGCTAGCACAGGGCGGGCGAGGTTGCACGGAGCAGCAGAGTAGCTGCAGACTAGCGGAGGCTAGCAGAGGGTGTGAAGTTGCACAGGCAGCAGAGGCAGAGTGGCTGCATAGAGAGTGCGCGGGGCGCAAGGAGAGACGACGCTGGACCGAGGAGGAGGCCAGCGGGGTGAGCGGAAGACGAACACAAATAAAGGACCAACGGGAGATCAACATCGTGTGACGGAGTCCTTTATTACATATATACTGGTTGAGGGTGGGAGGAGCCAAGGTAGGCCCTGAATATTTTTGTGAGATTCGGTGTGGCTGAAGCACGCTATTAGGATTGAGCCTTTGTTGTGTAAACTAGGTGCGTATGATGTAAAGGTGCGTGTAAAAGGGACTGAGCCTTTTGTAATGTAGAGGTGATGCGGCTGAAATCGCTGCCATGAAATGAGTCTTTGTTGTGTAGAATGGTTGACTGAGTCTATTATTATGTATAGGTGGTGCGGCTTAAATCGCTGTCAGGAAATGAGTCTTTGTTGTGTAGAATGGTTGACTGAGCCTATTATTATGTAGAGGTGGTGCGGCTTAAATCGCTACCAGGAAATAAGTCTTTGTTGTGTAGAATGATTGACTGAGCCTATTATTATGTAGGGGTGGTGCGGCTAAAATCGCTGCCAGGAATGCTCCAAATATGTTAAGTAATTTTTTGTATGGTTAATAACATTAATAACATTAACCATACAAAAAAGAAAGCTTCAAATCAAGAATTAAAAGTTTATAGTTTGAATTCAGGCATGGGGTATCCCAGTCTATGCAATTTCGAAACAAACCCCTTCTTTAATTCAATAAAGACCAAATCTAGACCCGTTTCCCGCTTGTAATATATTACAGGCACTCCTTTACAAATGTGATAG